TCGAGGGGAGCAAGAGCTTCCTTGGGCAAGGCGCAGGGGCTGGGACGCTCCCCTCGAGGCGGGAGCAGGAGGGTTTGGGTTGATGAGGGAGAGGCAAGGCTGCGCGGGGCCCCGGCTGCGGGTTTCAGCCCCTCGCTCTAGCCGCCCGGCCCTGCCTCGCCGCCAGGCCGGTTTCTCCCATGGCATGGTGGGACGAGGCCCTGGGCTGCCCCCCCCAGCACGACGGGGGGTATTTAGCGGCTGAGGGTATCACAGCGCTGGTCCCCCGCTGCTGTGGGCTCTGCTGTGGGCTCAGGCCCTGCACTGTGGATGTGGCTTGTCTGGGTGAGTGAGCGGCTCGGGGAAGGTGCCCGGGCAAAGGGCTGTGCTGGCCTTGGGGTGCCGGTGAGCAGGAGGTGACCCTGCAACGCACCCTGCAAACCCCAGGGCCCCAGGAGCCCGAGCCGTGCGACGATTTGGGAACCTGGTGTTGTCACAGCAAGAGCAGCCCGTGGGAGGCGGCCGACGCACCGACGCGGTGTGCCGGGAGAGCGCCCTGGGACAGGAGACACGAGGAAGAGGAGGTGAATGTCCTCCTCTGGCTGCTGGGAATGCGCCTGGGTGCTCTGCAGTGCCGGATCCTGGAGGTGGGAAAGCCGGGAAGGTGCCAGCAGGTGAGGAAAGGCCCTGGGGGCTGCCGGTTGTTGGGGTTTGGTGGCAATCAGCCACACGAGTGCCTTTTGCTGGGAAGTGGGATGTGTAGAGCTGGGCAGGAGGGGCCGCGTGCCCCGGCTCTCGAGCCCCAGGCGGGAGCAATGGCCTGGTCCCTGCCTGCTCCTGCTGGGAGCGCACAGGCGCTGTGACCTCTGGGATGCCGCTGCTCGCCCTGATCTGCCGAGGGCTGGCAGAGATGCCCGCCGACTCCACGGAGACCCCTGCCAGCGCTGGGCTCCGCTCTTACCCAGCCTGGCCTGGCCGCCTGCTTGGGCTGCTGGGTGAAATGGTGCTGTGCCGCTCCGCAGCGGAGGGTGCTTGGGCTGGCTCACAGGCGGTGCCGCGTGTGGGACTGCACTGCGCCGGCTCTGGGGTCTTGGCACACGTTTTGGGTGCTGCTGCCTCCTCGAGCTGGGCAGAGCCAGCCGAGCAGCCGGTACCCCGGCATTCGCCAGTGCTGGCACCAGGCCCTCCGTGTTTCCTGGCCCCCTTCTGTCCTCGTCCCCTGCCTGGCGCTTCCCGGAGCAACCGCTTTGCTGGGTGCCTGCAGACGTCCCCAGGCAGAAGCTGTCGCCCTCCCGGGAAGCCGAACGGCCCCGGGGACATGTGGCACCTCCGGGGAGAAGTGCCAGGATGAGGGAGGCAAAAACATCAGAGCCAAGCGTGGGGGGTCCTGTGCCGTGTAGGGCAGCGGGATGGGGTGTCTGGAGAGGTCTGGCGCCGTCTCCTCTCCGTGCTGCTCCGGAGCCGGGTGAGGAGTCTGGAGCCCTGCAGACTGGCGTGCAAGGGGGGCTGCGTCCCGAGGCAGGGGCTGAGGTGGCAGCGCGGGGCGGTGAGGGTCAGGCTGTGCTGCTTTGCATCACCCAAGGCGCCGGCAGGCCCAGTGCGTCCTTCCCCAGCTCGGGGCCTGGCCTTGCCCCGGGGCGATGCAGGGACGCGCTGCCCAAGAGCTCCCAGTGGCCTCTCCAGCCCGGCGGCCCCAAAGCAGCGCTGGTGTCTGGCACAAAGACCACAGGCAGGCTCGGACGCATGGGTCACTGCTCCAGAGGCGTTCCCGGGACCTGTCACGTCCCTCGCTGCGGTCGGCCGGAGGGAGACGTCAGCCCAGCAGCCCCTGTCTCTCCATCGTGCAGGTTTTGGGATCGACCACCTGTATGCCAGCCAGTTACCGGTGCCCGAACCACAGCCAGGGCTGGCGGAGGCAGATCAAAGTATTTCTCTGCACCGTTCAAAATAGATGACACAGTTTCGGGCAGGTTTCACAAAGACGTAGATGTGCAGAAACAGAGAGCATATGTGCACCTCGCGCTTCGCTCAGCGCTAAAGGCTCCTCTCCCGCTGCCTGGCAGCTATTTCTCAGCTCTGCTCGCAGCCCCCTCATCCTCCAGTTGCTTTTGTGGAAGAGGCGCCGTGCTGGAGACCCGGCTTCCTTTTATAGCCCTGAATGTGGCTCGGAGGTCGCTCGGCTCCGTTCCCCTTCCCACGCACATCATTATTAGCAATGGCCCAGCGGGAGGGGATGAGGTATTTTTTTTCCCCATCGCCTTTCTGCAGATGGATAACACCCTGCCTGCTGTCCCGGGAGCCCCGCCGAGCCGAACCGGAGGCCTCCCGGCATTCCCGTGCTCTCAGCAACCCTGAGGAGGGGGTCAGGATGCTCGGGGGCAGAGAGAGCCCGTGGAGTTGCAGCCCTGCCGCTCTGTGACCCCCCTTCTGGGCCCAAATGGCTGTCAGCGAGGCCGTGCGGGGGCTGCTGCGGGCATGGCAATCGGCTGGATTTTATTGCCAGGTTGTTTTAAAGCCGGGGGTGCCCGGAGCTGTTTGCTGGCGGCCCGAAAAGCCGACGGGAGGCAGCAGCATCCCTGCGTGGGGAATGGGGCATCCCTGGCCGCTGGCGTGTCCCGGAGCTGCCGTCCCATGGAAACGGGCTCGGGGGAGCGCAGCCCGCGGTGGAGACGTGGCAGCAGGAAACGGGGCAGACGAGGAGGGGTGCGGCTGTGACCAGCGCCCGGTGAAATCAGCCCGGTATCGCTGCAACCTGCTCAGACCGAGGCCCCGGCGGGATGCTGGTACTGCCTGCCGCCGCGGGCATCGGCCTGTCCCTCTGGCAGGGACCCAGCGGCCCCCTCCCGGGCTCCTGGGGGTGCCCGGCACGGGGCTGAGCTCCAGGCAGGAGGGCCAGGGCATCGCGGACGCGTTCCTGGTGCCAGGAGGTTGGGAAACGGCACCGTTGCGAAGGGCCCCCCCCATTCAGAGGCCACGTGTCCTGCCGCTGCGGCGTGCAGCGGGGCGGTGAAAAGGAGCCACGGGGACAGGGAGGCCGGGGAGCGGTTGTGTGCCTTGGCACCGCACCGAGGATAATGCAAGCATGTGAGCCTGACGAGCGGGGACCGGGGACACTGTGTGTGTGTGGGTGAGCACTGGCGGCACAGCTTGAGGACTCTGGTGTGCGTCGGGGGGAGCTGGCAGCGAGCAGGGCCCCGGCGCGAGCACGCCGGATCCACGCGTCCCCGAACCCAGGCTGGGGATGGTGTGGGTGCGATCGCTCCCCGGGGAGAGACGGGCGCCGTGCACGGGCTGCCGAGGGGATGGAGCAGGGTTGCTGCAGGCGTCCCACTCCCCGAGGAGGCCGGGACGGCCGGTGACCATGTCCGTTCCGTGCCGGGATCCCCGCTCCCGGCGCCTGGCACGCTGCCGGGGTGGCGAGTGACAAAACCGGCTCCCGGCCAGGACGCGGCAGGGCTGATTCAGAGGGATGAAGCGCGTCGTGTCTCACCTGCACCGGGCGAGGTGCTGGGGCGAGCGGTAGCCCCAGGGGGCTGTTCCGTGCCCCCCGTGCGTGCGGCAGCCCGTGGGGCGAGCCGTGCAGCGCGGGCACCTCCGGCGGCTCCCACGCGCCCGTGGGTGCTGTGCTGGGGACACACGGGGCTGTCCCGCAGGAGGACGGTGTCCCACAGAGCCCGGACCCCTCTCCCCTCCGCGGGGAAGCTTGGTGCAGCCAAGGAGGCCGAGGGAAACGCTTCCCTCCCGCCTGGCTGGGTGGGCGATATGGGCTGTTCCTACCAGCCCCGCCGCCACGGTGAGGGTCACCGGTAGCTGAGGGCTTTGCAGAAGGGGTGCTCGGCGCTGCGCAAAGCCAACCCGCCCCGGTCACCGCCCTGTCCCGCCCCGCCGGTGGGCATGGCCGGGCCGGCCCCCTCCTTCCTCCTCCTCCTTCCTCCTCCTCCTCCTCCTCCGCGCCGCGATTTGCCGCTGTCGGCTCCGCCCGTCGCCCTGCGCGATCGCGACCGAGGGGCGCGTTCAAACACGGCGAGGGAAGGAAACGGAGGAGAAAGGAGCCGAAAGGAGATCGCAGCACCGGCAGCATGGTGAGTGCGGGACCCGGTACCACCGACCCC